CTTAGTGATTCTGTGATTCTGTGATCTTCTTCAAACCTATAAAACACACCCTGGCTCCATACAATTTGAATCAGCTGAGGGCACGAATACTTTTCAGTATCTTGATTCTTCTGTAGAAAGAAGTCACAGAAACTCCACCTGTATTAAATACAATAAAAGCTTCAGTAAGTTCGAAGGTGTGTTGTTTTGGTTTTGTTGTGGTTTTTTTTCTTTTTGCTGATAATTTCCGTATCCTAAATGGAAATATATTTCTATACCAAGAACAGATGTATGCACATGTATTCAAAGGAAAAGAAGCCACATATTTTCATTGTCCTCTGATTCCTTAGTTATCCACATTATTTACCAAATTTATTTTGTCAAACCTGCATAGGTTTTTTGATTATTTTTAGTGGTGCTGACAGAGAATATATGTGACCGGCCCACCTCAGAAGTATTATCTTCTCAAAAACAAACACAAACCCGTGTTCTCTTTCAGCATTTTCCTTTTCATTTATATATTTATACAGCATGTCAGAAAATAAAATTTATTTTTCTCTGGACTAATTACTATTTTTCCATTACTGTAGGATACAGAATGTTGGTTTAACGAATTTCACGTTTCAAGAAGTTCCTAATAAAAAAGAACATGATAGTAATTTTTTTATTTCTTATAGCTAGAATTCAGTTATTTTGCTAGAGGTTGAAGTTCACAATTGCAGAATTGTAAAACATATGTTAACAATTAAGTAGTAAACAGTTTAAATTACCTGTGTAAATATGGAGCTCTGCAGCTGAGTGGTAAAGCTGTAGGCAAATGAGAAAATGTTTCATGTGTTTCAGGGTCTATTAAAGTCTATAGATATATGGTTGTTATTCTCACATCTTCATTACATTCTTAATAGTATGTCAGTTATAGTGCACTAATGCCAATGACAAAGGGTATTTCCATTCTTCTGGGCAGGAGGAAACAGACCAACGCTGTGTAACCCAGATGTATTCAGAGGAACAATTTATGTAAAACAAAGGGACTCCATCTCTCTCTCTTTCTTTGGTCTTTTGGTTTGGTTGGTTCCCTGTATTTACCTTCAGCACAACCATGTTCATTCTTCTTATTCTCTATTCTTGTTTGTTTTGAAGACATTTCTGGAACAGAATTTTTACTTGATTTTCCATACTGATCTCCAGTTTGATAGTTGCTGTTATTTTGAGAAGAATGTGAGAATGCTGCAGATAACTGGCTGACTTTTCATAAGAACTCTATTGTAAATTCTTGCTGCAATTCTGACAGGTAAAGGTGAGCATAACCATCTATTGATGAGATCTTCACGCTGCCATTGTCTATACATCTTGTCAGATCAGCCATAGCAGGGTCAGGCCATCTAACTTCTAAGACATCACTGAAAAGAATCTAATACAAGAAAAAGGATAGGAATGTGTTGCAAGATAAAAACAACATGCTTGCCAGAAATTACAATGGAGGATTTACATTTAAATTAATTTGGTCCTTCTGCAAGGTGATATATGACAAGACACTTTACTCTCTATTTATTTGCATACATGAACTCAAGAGGAAGCAAATATCTAACCTTCATATCCACCTCCTCCTCTTCTAACAGGGTTCTATCTAGCAATAAGGTTGTCATTTAATATCCGTTCATAAACTAGTAAGATACATGGCCAACTGACCAGGCACAGCTGCCCACAGACAGTAGATATTTCTGTTTCCAACTGTTTCTTAAGAAACATTGAAGAGAAAGACTAAATTATCTTGATCATATCAATTATCAGTAGAGTTTATGGAAAGTCCATGTTAAAATTGTGTACGTTAAAATGCCACATGCTCCGAAATCTTCTCTTTATTTATAAAATTAAAATAAGCCTGTAAAAATGGCATGTAACATGTATTTATGTGTTTTTACCAAAACAGAAATTTATTGAAAACGTTTTGCAGCTATGTGGGTAAACTTAATTAATCCCCAGCACCAAAGATTAAGTTGCACATCTATTGCTGGGATGTGGATAGAGCATATTTCTGAAGAGGAATTTAAAATATAATAAAGATTTTAGGCTTTTACAGTACAACATTTGGAAAGTCTCAAAAGAATAGCCTCATCTTACTGCAGTGATATTCAAGTACAGACTGCTGCTTCAATTAGCACTTTTGTTCAAAACAAACAAAAAAACATTTTCATGGCATATGCCCTTGTGCTACACCTTCTACAAAACTGAAGCAGGTGATTCTCAACAAATTACTCCAAACAAGCACTGCATCTGTCACCGAAATCAGGAATAAACCTCCTAA